ATTATAAAATATTATATTTAATAAATAATTCCTACAATTAATCAATTATACAATTTTCAAATTTCCGAAATGTAAAATTAGACTATTTTCATAGTTTAAACTTTCCAATAAAACGCTTTTAAAAAAGAAAAAAAAATAATAAAGCACCACTAAGTGCTCATTGTCAAGACATGGCATCTTCGCTAGAGTTTCGTGCCTAAGCATCACTTAGACGGGCTTTATAGAACACTATTAAGTACGATCGATTTTTTATTGGCAGTAAATAAAATAAAAATTTGGCCATTCCTTGGTCCTCATTATTTCAAAAGTTTATTTTCATTCTTTTATTTTCAATTACACATTCTTTAATAAAATAATATTACACGTAAATTCAAAATTCTTCTTTATTTATTAATTACATATTCTTCATCAAAATACTATTTACGTATTGGACAATAAAAGGGGCTCAAACATGCTCCAGGATGACGGGCCGAGAATTTTACGACATCATAGAAAAGGGACAAACAGTAAAAATATAGAAGAAACGATAATAGGGGCTTTTGGACATAAGATTTTTACCATAAACGATATTTTATAATTCAATCTTCTCTAGAAGGCAATCTTTTGCAAGTTAAAATAAATAAATAAATGAAAACGGGCCAAATTACAATCTTTCACTTTTTATTTTTTCCATTGAAAGGCATTCTTCACACTAATTCCTCGCCTCTTTCTCGACCTCCACCCTTACATTCCTATGCCCATGGCCGCCCCCATCTTCTCTTACCTCCCCCTTATAAGATGCATGATTACTCTAATATTTGCCCTTCTAATTATAATAATGATTTATTTATTTATTTTTATATGAAAATTTCTAACTTTTATTTAATTCTTGATTCACTCGTTGAATACAGTCTAGAAAGACTGCCACTGCTTCTCTCAACTTTTTTGTTCTAAGTTTCCAAATTAATATAATTGATTGATTTCCTCTACTAAAATCCATATACATTAGTGCAATAAGTATGCTATTACTAATTAGTTTACTAAAGGATGATAATATACATACTCTAATGATGCAATTGTGTCAAAATAATAATAATAAGAAGAAGAAATCTTTAATTTGTTTTCATATTGATAGCGTAATATATTCATTATATTTAATTGTGATTAGAAACTTGAGTATTTTCACCAAGTTTAGAAACCCTCGTCACATACTACTACAAGGATAATTTTTTCATGATGCCTAGTTCAGAATGTTGAAAATCGAACATGCTAATGATAATTAATCGAAAACTGAGTTGATATGTACATTGGGTATATTCTCACTACCTTTCACCATTCAGGAGCATTCTCATTTATACAAGGACGTCACAAATGCATTAATTTTCACAAAATTCACTGAGGAAGAAACAAATGCATTAATTTTCACAAAATTGAAAGATTAACATATTGAGGAACCTACAATCCAAGTGTTCAAAAGTGTTTAGGATAAGAACGATAAAGATTCCAACATGTCATTTGCTTATGGGTCTATTGAAATTGAGAGGGCGAGTGGCAAAAGGCAAAATTAATGAATTATGCTACTTGTACATTAATGTAAAACTTGGATGACATTTGAATATGTGGCAAAATCGAGGTCATTGTATGTTTTAAGTGTTGAATAAATTAATAGTAAAATTGTATGTCACACAGTACAATGTAGAACAGAATGTCAACTAAAATATAAGTTTAACAAGATTGCAGAAGTAATAGCCATTCTCTAGAGATGATGTAACCACGGATTTCAAAAATTTCAAATCCACAACAAATTCAATTCTCAACTCCGGAATCCATCTACAAAAGAGGAGCCTTGGCGGATTGGAGGTATTTTACGTACTTAATAATCATGGTTCACTTGGATGTCTCGCCATCCATTAAAAGTGTCTCCCGTTGCATACCCGTGTTCCATTATGAATATTTATTCTTCGATCTTCAAGGCTCCTCTGAGTTACTAAGTAAAGGATTAACTATGCCTAACACTTGGTAAGGAACTCGACTGGAGGCCTCGAATTGCCTAGGATTAAAAGCCTGGACGGACCTCAGACTTGAATGGAGACCTTAGTGCAAATTATGACAAAATAAACTTGAAAGTTAGTGTACTAAAACCAAACGTGCAAACAATGTAATTCTAGACGTGTATCATAGAATAGAAACATTCGTAACTTTTGAAAATGTGACTTATTATTTTGAAAAAGAGTCAACTTAGAAAAATAACAAACGTTTGCATAAAAGAAAAAGGGGTCCAACTTTTACTCTAAAATTCTAAAGGTTGAAAGATTCTCACTTAAAAATGCCTCGGATTGAAAGAACATTTAGGGTTGGACCTCTTGAAAAGAAAAATTCTACCGTTGACTTTAAAAAAATTATCCATTTTGCAAGGTCAACAATTTGATGTAGTCTATTGAAATACTCACCAAATCACGAGAAGAAAACACGCTTGGAACAAGAAAAGATTGGGAATATGAGTGGAAGCTAATCAAACAACAATGAGAAGACGATGAGAAGTGGTAGGACAGTCCTGCCATCTCAGCTGAGAGGAACGTTTGGAGGAGAAGAAATCGAAGGCCAAAAATGGTAGCCAGGCTAACTCAAAAGGTAGTTGACATGATGACCAATTTGCAACGTATTAATGATGAAGATGATATAATGAAACAGTTCTTGATGCACCAAGGCCATGCAATTCCGAGATGATGTAGGCAGGAGAATAGCCGAGGACTCGTAAAGAAGCAGCCCACCTCTCATAACTACCCCTCAACAGTCGTTACCAAGAATACTTGTCCATATAGAGGAGCATTCTCGTTTATATAATGACTTTGCTCGGCATCATTTGAACTCGAAAGATTCACAGAGGAAGAAATGAGTGTTGACTGGTGAGTAATCACATCAATTTTCAGTAAACAGTGACAGTATCAATTAACATATAACTATGGTAAATAGAGTAACATCAAAGGATCCTAACAATCCTAGGGTTGATAAGAATTGTAAACTTTATACAACATGTTATTTGCTAATAGGTTCATGGAGAGAAAGGTAAAAGGCAACAGTAACAGCACTCACAAAAGAAGATGTGACCATGGATCCCAAAAATTTCAGATCCGCAAAAGATTCAATTATCAAGTCCGGAATCAATCTATAAAAGAAGAGCCTTGGCCGATGGAAGGCATCCCCCAACCTTCAGTTTTCTCTTTCATTTGGTAATCTTACAACCACTGCTGAAGATTCAACTGTAAGTCTGAGACATGTGTTCTACGATTAATTCTACGTTTTAATGTTTTTATGTACAAATGTTGAAGAAAATCTTTGGTTTAGACAGGGCTTCGTCCTCCCCAGAAGCATTCTCCCGTGTCAGTAAAAATGAAGTATACGAAACACATAGCTTCAGCCTTAAATCTAGAAGGGATATAAAAACTCTCGAAAAAACAGTTTCTCTTAAAGTGGAAGATAAGGCCCTTAGACTACTCGATCGTGATGTTGTAGCCAAGTTGAAGGATAAATATAAATACATTCACATAGGGCTAGTTCAGATTGCATTATATCCCTTAACCAGGCTAGGTTTAAACACCTCTATTCTGGTAGCTTTAAGAGACTGCCGGCATCTTAATTTTAATAACTCACTAAAGGGTCTTGTAGAGACTAGTTTATGTGAAGGACCAGTTTATTTTAACTGTTATCCAAATATTTCTGTTTTCCTTACAGATCCAGGCATTTTAGACGCTTTAATTTTAAACATCGAATCAAAAGGGTACGATATGGTGGCCTCAAGTAGACATATAGCCATAACCTATAGAGTTTGCTACAAGGTCATGAATACCATTAATCCTAAAGCCAAAAGAGTTAGTAAAAGAGGGACTTCCACTGTGATTGAAACCAATTCAAAATCTAATGTTACTCAAGTTAGGGCCATTTCTTGGAAGGATATTAGCCTCCCAGAAAAATGGACCCAACGAGGAGTAGCAGAACCGTCTCAGGAAGTTGAACGCACAAATCAAACCCATGAAGGAGGCGTTGATCACTTACTTGATGGTTTGAAAGCTCGATGGAATATTTCAGAATGACTGATTCATGAAATCCATGAAAGTGCCTTTTAATGAAGGTCACCAAGACAATCCGAAAGGAAAATTTACAAAGAAAGAATTCAAAAATTCTTCAAGCAATGTCAAATATTCTTGACGAAACTGAAGATCAATCAACGAAATCAACTATGAATTCCTCAAAAGGAAAAGAAAAGGTCTCTTGAATAGAGCAAGATGATGATATAGGTTACGAGGGTTATACTCCAACAAATGAAGAGTACTTAGGGATGACATTCCTTTATGAAGATTCCCTGGACAAAGAAAATAAACAACCACCTTTTCAGAGAAACAGATGGCTTTTCAAAAAGGCCTTAAAGGCAACAGTAACCACACTCACTAAAGAAGACGTGACTGTGGATTTCAACAATTTCAAATTTGCAACTAATTCTATTGGGAACTTATTTGAAGTTCGGAATCCATCTGCAAAATGAGGGGCCTTAGCTGGTTGAAGGCATTTCAAAATTCAGATTTTCTTTACATTTTGTAATTTTATTACTCTGTAGTTTTACCGCTACTGCTGTCTGCTGAAGATCCAAAGTCATTCTGGATTTCGGTAAGTCTTATTTAGACTTCTATTGTATGTTGTATGTTTAACTCTACTGTTTAATATTTTAAATCTATGTAAAATAATGTTGAGCTAGTATAAAGTTTCTGTTTTGCGTTTAACTAACTACTATTTCGTAGCACTTGGACAATTTTCGTCTTCTCTTTCCTCTCACAGGATCTGATCCATAAAACTACATGAAAATGCTCGTTTTGTTTTTTTTGACATAATCACGTTTTCTCAAATATTGCAGATATACAGGCTTTCATAACAGGAGAACAGAAATTCATTCTTCCCAGTTAAAAATGAAAAAGAGACTATCACTAGACTCAAATGTCTTGAAATGGATTTCGATTGGAAAACAAGCATTGATAAAAATGGATTATCTCATAAAATAAATAGGAAATTTAATGCTCTTTAATATTTAGGAAAAAAGGGTATAACTTCCAATAAAGACATTAGGCTTGTTTGTTAAGGTGGACCCTGTAGCATTACTTTCGATCATGACCAATACTATATACCCAACATAAGAAATGGTTTTTTGCCCATAGTGAGAAGTTTTATTCTGTCCACTATGAGAGAACTGTAAGTACGGTTTTCATATTTGGACAGAACTGTAAATAAGAATAGAACCGTAAGTAAGGTTGTTCTGCCACATCAGCAAGTGAACAGTCTTATTTTGTCCACAGTGGACAGAATGTGGACAGGAGAACAATTTCGTACCAAACATTCCTGAAGGATAAGATTATAAGCTGCAGTTTTTAGTCACCTTGCCACTGGTTGATGTCTTCATTATCACAGAGAGATTAACAGCAATGTTAACTCATTCACCTGCACAGGTACCCAACAAGGTAAAGAGTCAGTCATTCGAAGGGATTTTCTTTGAAATCACATAACCTGAGGGTCACTAACAAGTAACTTCAAGTCTTGTGAGCAAAATTCAATAATCACATTTTTACACCATATCAATAAGCAATAGAGGATCAGCTAAGAAATCCAATACATCATTGAGAGAGTAAAAATTGGATCTGAGGCAAACGAACAGATGAAAGACTTTCTGGAAGTTGTATTACAGAGTTGCACCTCTACTCCCACGTCATCAGCCTCTCCAATCATTTTTTCATCGCAGAGACGTTGCTCACAGCCTCTCCCGTTGTTTATAGGAACCATCTACCATGAACAACAATGATACAAGTGAAAATTAAAGCCTAGAAAGCCAGGTGGGAGAATGTTATAGACACTTCGGAAAATAAAACAGATAATTATAATATAGGGTTGTCTGTGGTTGACAGATGGAAATACTAAAATCAAAAGGGAAAGAATAGATGCACTCAAAAATTCTCAAAACCAGATGAACAAATAAGATGCTGGTTCAAAGTCAGTATCTGGAACTTTACCTTCTACAGCAAAAGCAACTTTAAGCTCGGTTTTTGCATCAGGTCCATGATCACACCCAAAACATGTTAAATAAATTGGTCATCAAACATATAGAGGGAGAGAGAAGGCGAAAAACAAGAATATAGAAGTTGTTTCAGGGAAGAAAGAAAAAAAAAAGAAAAGAAAAGGAGATTAAGTTACGATGAAGAATGTCATTATAAGGCATATAAGGGAATCATGCGTGGATCCCGCTCCAACTTGAACAAAGCATGTCTAGCCTGAAATCATGTCCAATAATCTGCCATTTAATTTTATAATAAGAGTAGCTTCTATTTTTGTATTCTATACACTGTAACAGCAGCATAGATTTAGCCTTACCATGTATGTATTTCCTAAACCAGCTCCTCAATCACCTTGTATATAACACGGAATCTCTATTAATAAAATGTGTGGGAAATTCTTCATTGAAATCACAGAATATGTGTTCCTTCACAATCTGTTCTTTCATATGGTACCAGAGCCATCGATCTCCAACGAGCCATCGATCCAAGTCACCACCATGTCTTCCTCTTTTGATCAAACTTCAAACTTTAACCTCAATACCCAACCTCCTTTTGGAGCAAATAAATCCCTGATTGCCCTCAATATTACTGCCCAAGTCAATGAAAAATTAACTCCCTCCACCTTTCCCCAATGGCATGCTCAATTTGAAACACTCCTTATTGGTTATGATTTACTCGACTATGTCGAAGGCACCCTTCGGTGCTCCTCTTCCGCTGGTACCTCCACTAATGAGCTGCGCAAGACCCGCCGGGTTCGACGGGATAAATTTATCCTGAGTGCTATTCTAGCATCCACATCTCCTTCAATCACCCCACTCATTGCTATGGCAAAGACCTCTCATGAAGTTTGGAAAAAGTTAAAAACTCTGTATGCTAACCGATCAAGAATTCATGCTATGTAGTTAAAGGAGGAACTCACCTTAATCCAACGTGGAAATCGATCGACCACAAAATATCTCCATGCTGTGAAGGCCTTGGCCGATGAATTAGCCATTATTGATCATTCAATTTCCGATGATGGCCTAACCCTTTATGTATTAAACAATTTAGGTCCAGATTTTTGGAAGATTACTGCTCTTATTCGAGCCCGAGAATCATCATTGGCCTTTGAGGATTTGCACGACCTTTTGGTTGGACACGAGGCATATTTACGGCATCTGTAAGCTACAACACAGAATCTGGTGGTTTCTGCAAATTATACGATGATGAAGCAGCCTGCACAAGGGAGAGTCACCCATGTTCTTTCAAGCAAAATAGTCCTCAACGTGGGCCTTAAAGCTCTAGCAAAAGTCGAAACTCAAATGGAGCCCAGGGTGATGGACGTCGCTACAACAATTCTAGTCGGCCCAACAATTACAATCGGCGTTACCAGCCCAATGTCAAATTTGTGACCAATTGGGCCACATTGCCAAGTCCTCAATTCCATTTACAGAATGTCTCCATAAATTGTGCTACAACATCTGCTGGAAAGCATAAAAATTGGTTACTTGTTTCGGCCGCTTTTCATAATATCACGAGTGATCTTTCCAATCTATCTATTCACTCCGAATATGGTGGAACTGACGAAGTAATTCTCGGTGATGGTTCATGTTTGGCAGTCCCACACATTGGTTCCTTGGCTTTGCACTCTCCTCACTGAACCTTTACATTGCGTGATACTCCTTGTGTTCCAAATCTTTACAAAAATTTAATTTCTGTTCATCACTTACCAAATAAAATAATGTCTTTGTTGAATTTCACTCTTTTCATTTTCTTGTGAAGGACAAGATCACGGGGTCAATCCTGCTAAGAGGAGTATGTAACAATGGCATCTACACCTTTCCGGAATCAACGTTGACATCAAAAAAGGTTGCTAATGTACATGAACGAACTTCTTTTGATGGATGACACAAGTGTCTTGGGCATCCTTCTACTAAAATTGTTCATCATCTTGTCAAAAAAATTTCTCTTCCTATTTCATCGAACAAAAACTTGTCTTCATTATGTAGTTCATGTTCTATTAATAAAGCACATCAACAATCCTTCCATGCCACTAGTCTTCAAAGTCATGAGCCACTTGAACTTATTTACACGGATGTGTGGGGTCCTGCTAGTTATACTGGAATTGATGGATCACGATATTACCTTATTTTTCTTGATCATTATACAAAATATATATGGTTTTATCCAATGGTCACTAAATCCAGTATTTCTAATATTTTCCCACATTTCAAAAAGGTTGTTGAAACCCGCTTTCAAAAACCTATCAAAATACTATACTTCGACAATGGTGGTGAGTTCATCGTTTTAAAATCATATCTATCACTCTAAGGCATAACTCACTACACCACTGCTCCACACACCCCACAACAAAATGGTGTCTCAGAACGTCATCTAGTTGAAACGGGTCTTACACTTCTTTATGATGCAAATCTTAATTTGTCATATTGGCCTTATGCTTTTCAAACAGCGTCTTACTCCATAAACAGACAACCCACTAGTCTTCTCCGAGGAAAATCACCTTTCGAAGTCCTTTTTGGTCAAACACCCAATTACTTGAAATTAAAAAATTTTGGTTGTATCTGCTATCCTCTCACATGGTCTTATAACTCAAATAGAATGCAGCCTATGTCCAAAGTCTACAGTTTTCTCGGTTATTCACCAACTCAAAATGCATACAAATGTTTTGAACCTCAAACAAAGAAATTCTTCATCTCATGACACGTGTTATTTGATGAAAATCAACATCACTCCAGTCTGTCCCACCCTGAGCCTTCCATGACAACCCTGAACACTCAAGAATCTCACAAATTTCTTTCCCTCTTTTTTGATGCTTAGCAAGCTATCGTGCCTCCATCAATGTCGTTTGGTGAGCCACCCTCATCGCCACCTCCAGAAGGGTCTCCTGCCATTGTTACGCTCTCTTTAGGTCAATTTCATAATCTCACAAATCCCATTTTTCCATACCCAACCGAACCAAATAATCCTTCCCAACGCACTCATAACATGACCACAAGATCAATGAACCAAAATTTCAAGCCTAAACAAATCCACACTGTGTCCAAACATCCTCTTCCCCAGACCATTGAAGCAACGAGTCTGAGTCAAGCCATTTCTTAACCTCATTGGTGTGAGGCCATGTCCAATGAGGTCACCGCTCTAATTAAACGTGGGACCTGGGACCTAGTTTTACCACCTTCAAATTGTAAACCCATGGGTTGTAAGTGGGTATTCAGAGTGAAAAGGAAAGCTGATGGGTCAGTTAACAGATTCAAAGACCGTCTAGTTGCTAAAGGCTATAATCAATGACTTGGTGTTGATTATAAAGAAACCTTTAGCCCTGTACTTAAACTAGCAACTATCAGAGTTGTTCTATTTATTACAGTTATGAATGGATGGGATTTGAGGCAAATGGATGTCAACAATGCCTTTCTAAATGGTGAATTAACTGAGACTGTGTTTTTGACAAATCTCCAGGGTTTAAAGATTTGTCCAAACCTAATCATGTTTATTGATTAAAAAAGGCCATCTATGAGCTTAAACAAGCGCCACGGGCTTGGTACACAGCACTAAAAATGCCATTCTTCAGTTGGGTTTTTACAATTCTAAAGTAGATCCCTCTCTCTTCATTTACAACCAAGGTTTTAATCTCTGTTATTTTCTACTTTATGTTGATGATCTTGTCATTACTAGAAACAATTTCACACTTGTAGCCACCATTATTAAACAGCTGGGTGACGTGTTCTCTCTCAAGGATATGGGTTCTTTTCATTTTTTCTTGGGAATTGAAGTAATTCCTACCCAAGCAGGATTATTCCTCTCACAACATAAATATGTTCGTGAACTTTTAGCCCACACAAGTATGAGTTGTGCAAAAGATGTCTCAACACCTCTCTCTACCACTCAATCCCTTCAATTAGTTGATGGCATTGCTACTGTGGACAGTTCTGAGTTCAATAGAATTATTGGCAGCCTTCAATACCTCTCCTTGACGAGTCCATACATCTCATTTGCAGTCAACAAACTCTCTCAATTTATGCACAAGTCGACTACAAATCACTGGATAGCAACTAAGAGACTCCTCCTCTACTTAAAACAAACCATTTTCTATGGTATTCAAATCAACAAAGTTGGCTCCCCGGTATTATGAACTTATTCCGATGCCGATTGGGTTGGAAATGTGGATGACCGCACATCAACCTTTGCTTATATCAATTTTTTGGAATCTAACCCCATTTCTTGGAGCTCAAAGAAGCAAATAGCCGTAGCGCGATCCTCAATAGAGGTTGAATACCGAGCTCTAGGAAATGCAGCTTCCAAGATAATGTGGCTATCCACTCTTTTAAAAAAAAACTCGCATTTCCAGTCAAAGAATCTCCTTAACTATTGTGTGACAATCTCGGAGCTACACATCTCAGTTTTAACCTGGTCGATCATTCATGCATGAAACACATTCAAACTGATCTTCACTTTGTGCATGACTTAGTGCAAAAATGAAGCATCCAAGTTAGACATGTACATATTCACAACCAACTTGATGATCTGTTGACAAAGTCGTTGTCAAAACAGCGCACAGAATTGCTATGCAAAAAGATTGGTCTTGTCGATGGAAGCTCAATCTTGTAGGGGCGTATAAGGGAATCGTGCGTGGATCCTGCTCCAACCAAAGCAGAGCATGTCTAGCTTGAAATCATGTCCAATAATCTGCCATTTAATTTTATAATTATAGCAGCCTCTATGTTTATATTCTATTGTTGTCGATTTTATCCCGCAAGCGAACGGATCGTAACAAGTAGTAAAGTGGACCTTTTGAGTCCGGATTATCGTTCCCACGAGGACTATACTTTTAATGCGCAATTTATTATTTCTAACTTCTATTTGACGAAAATAAACAAAAAAAAATGATTAAATGTGATTTTTATTCTAAATACTTAAAAATGCGATTGGATGCAACGAAAAGTGATTGAGAATTCAAACAATAAATGGACGTTAGGGCGGAACAATTTCACCTATTGGTCACCTTTACTTCATAAATCAAGATTCATAAAACCTAAGGTAGTGTTCGGTCGAATTCTTCTATTGTATTCAACTTACCCTTCTCGAGTTCTCGTTGAGCCTATTTAATTAGTTCAATTCCATATCTCTATGCAAATTAAATTTAATTAAACGAAATACTGGTTGTAAGAATTCACACACGACCGCAGCAATCAATATAACTATCTCTACACGTTATATCAATTTACCGAATTTTAACATGTGGTCTAAACAAATAATCCTCATTTCTACGCAATCATTGTTCACAAATCATCTAATTAGTGATCAAGTAATTAAATGCATTAAGAACAACATTAAAATCAACACATAAAATATAAAAGTACTAGAATCTCAATTACATGAAATAAAGGATTCCAAAAGATTACATTGTTCGCCCTAAAATCAAATTTAACTACTCATAATAATGGAAGAAAAACGAGAAATTATGGAAGACGTCACCGAGAATTGGCGGAACATTAATAATTTTCGAAGTAAATCTGCTGTTTACCGTTTTTCTATCCAGTCGTCCATTGCCTTGCTGCTACCAATTCAATCTCTTAACAGCTGCAATAATTGACTTTGGAGAGAACCCAAGCTACTGCCAATTAATTCCTCAAACAATCGGTTGAATTTCTGTGTGTTTTCATATTAATTTCAACACCCAGCAGGCATGTAATTATTCTTCTCAAAGTTGCTGCCTCCAATTAATTGTAATCCCAGCTGGAGTCTCCTCAATTCTGCCTACCAAGCTGCCGTCTATTTGTGTGTGTAAGAATATATAATGATAATGGCTGCCCTTTTTTTATTTCTCTCCTCCAGCCTGCCGCAGAAATTGACCCTCCTTCCCTCTAGGTTTGTACGTGTATATATATATATATATATAAAACAACCTAGCCACCAAGTTTGACTCATACTCAAAAACTTTAATATTATATTACTCATCAAGTCCTCGATCTTTTCATACAATAAATTTCAGTCCTTGAAACATTTTATTCTTGCAACCCATGTATTCTTTGGTTCAATACAAGTCCTTCACTTTCTAAATTATTCAATTTGACCTCCAAACATTTGAATCTTCGATTCATGGTCCGAATCAACTATTGAATTTTTACAACTTGGTCCCCAACTTTTGAATTTCAC